CAGTATTGAGTTGCCCGACCCTTCGCAGCTATAACAGCTTCAGCTCTTCTGGGAAGGCTGCCCACAAGGTTTAGGAGTGTGACCATTCCTCCAGAAGCGCATTTATGAGGTCAGGCACTGATGTCAGACGAGAAGGCCTGGCTTGCACTCTCCGCTCTAATTCATACCAAAGGTGTTCTATCGGGTTGGGGTCAGGACTCGGTGCAGGCCAATCTAGTTTGCCCACCCCAAACTCGCTCATCCATGTCTTTATGGACCTTGCTTTGTGCACTGGTGCGCAGTCATATTGGAACAGGAAGGGGCCATCCCCAAACTGTTCCCATAAAGTTGGGAGCATTAAATTATCCAAAATGTCTTGGTATGCTGACTCCTTAAGAGTTCCCTTCACTGGAACTAAAGGGCCAAGCCCAAACTCTGATAAACAAGCCCACACCATAATCCCCCTTCCACTAAACTTTACATTTGGCACAACGTAGTCAGGTAAGTACCGTTCTCCTGGCAGCCGCCAAATCCAGACACGTCCATCAGATTGCCAGACAGAGAAGCGTGATTCATCCCACCAGAGAACATGTCTCCATTGCTCCAGAGTCCAGTAGTGGCATGGTTTACACCCCTGTATCTGACGCTTTGCATTGCACTTGGTGATGTAAGGCTTGGATGCAGCTGCTCGGCCATGGAAACCCATTCCATGAAGCTCTCTGCGCACTGTTGTTGTGCTAATCTGAAGGCCACATGACGTTTGGAGGTCTTTAGCTATTGACTCTGCAAACAGTTGACAACCTCTGCGCACTGTGTGCTTCAGCATGCGCTGACCCCGCTCTGTTATTTTACATGGCCTACCACTTCGTGGCTGAGTTGCTGTTCCTGTTGCCTTCACTTTGTTATATTACCACTAACAGTTGACCATGGAATCTTTAGCGGCAAAGCAATTTCACAGATGGACTTTTTGCACAGGTGGCAACCTATCACAGTACCACACTTGAATTCACTGTGTTTCTGAGAGCAACCCATTCTTTCACAAATGTTTGTAGAAGCAGTCTGCATGCCTAGTTGCTTGATTTTATACATCTGTGGCCATGGAGGTGATTGGAACACCTGAATCCAATGATTTGGAAGGGTGTCCCAATACTTTTGGCAATATAGTCTGTTTGTATGTATAATAAAGATATATATATATATTTGAAAACTAGAATGTATGCTAGATGTAAAGTTGCACACTCATTAAAACTTTCCCATTGTATATTTGCTTGACCTCTGGGACAGAACTCACTGGTATAGGCCATGCTTCTGAATGACCAATGTGTTGAAAATATACACGTCCTAAACTGAATGCTGATTATATCATTTGTCATTAGCACATTTCAATAGGACCTTCCAGTGTTCTCACTAAGCAATGTCTTTTTGACAGGCTCCCTCTAGAGGGTTTTGAATGCCTGATGTGCATAATGCAATTTACAGCATGTCTATCTCAAACAGGTTTGCCAATCATAGGGAGAAAACATGTTTTATGATTAGGTGGATTAAATTGTAGAGGTAGAAGAGGTGCTTTGGAACGCTTGCTTTTGAAGGTCCAAGGTCTTTAAACTGACCAAGAAATAGTTTGGAGCCAGTGAAGTGTCTGGCTTGTTTACAAAATCTGGATTGGCATCTCCCATAACATCCTGACAGGTTCACTTTAAAATAAACTTCAGTGTGTCAGTAATGCTTTTGCTAAAAGTACATTGTGCCTCTCCATATAGAACTTGTCACTTGTACAGCAGAATGTGATACCACGGTACTTTAACTATTTTAGCTTCACATAGAATCAGAATCAAAAGCATTAGTAGACTTTGCCTAAGGAATGTAATTGAATTGGTGTTCAAGTACTATGTGATATCATACAGGATTTCAATTTTGTGGCAGATTTCAGCATGGAAGCATTGTATGCAAATTTAGTGCAAAATTCTCTGTAGAAGTGTTTTACAGTTATAGCGCATACATAGGGATGGACCTGAAAAAGTGAAATATTGACTTAAATGTTCTCAAGGGTACGGTTATTTAGTTTTTCACTATGGAAATAGGCATAGACAGGTTATTATCCTGTGTTATGCACATTTCAGTAGGTAAAGATTATCCCAGTGCTGCAGCAGTAAAAAAAAAACACCTGAAAAAATAAATGCAACAGAAGAATTTTTGTTTTGAAGTGCTGCCACCCAGAGGCAAAAGCATAAAGTAAAACTGAAAAAATACAATTTCTGTACTTGGACATTTTGCCATACTTGATAAATAGATATTACAAATTAAAATATTCTTTCTCCTTCATGGAGGGACAAAGGATTCATAGACAACTGGGTTACACTGCTGCCTACAGAAGATTTGGACATTAGCACTCCCATCATGCCTGCCTTTTTTGCTAGTATCCTAGGATGATGGATATTATTTCTCCTCTTAGATTTTTTTTTCTCTTTAATCAACATTTTCCTACGCTATCTGGATCTTCAGTATTAGCTTTAGAGGCTGTTCCCAGGCCACACTGGAATGGCAGATTACGGGGCTAGCCTGGAATGTGTATTTAGGGCACAATGTCTATAATTACCTATTCTGAGAGCATTCCAGTCCGGTCGCATGATCTATCCAGCAGCCGGCTTCAGTGAAGAGGAGAGTTCGCTGGCAACAGCTACAGAACCTAGGGCAATGACGTCACCAATATGCTTCCTATGGGACATCTGTTGTCGGCTGCCACTCCTCTGTACTGAAGCTGGTGCTGGGAACAGGTCGTGTGACTGGACTGGAGTGCCCTCAGTATAGGCAAGTATAGACATCTTTTCTTTCACGGGGTAGCTAGAATAGGTGGGAGTGGATTTAGGTATAGTTAGAATTTGACTGGAATGCTACTTTAATGCTTAAGAAATGAGCAGTGATGTACTTAGTTTAGGGGAGTATCATGTTCCTGCCATTCAGCATGAGGTAACTGCTTCCTGCTACTGCTCCATGTCCAAGCGACACAAGGGTTTTCTTTAGTCAGCCCTTGCTGTCCACCTACAGTAACCTGTTCAGCTCTAGTCGTATGACTCTCTCCTGCCACATGCATCTGCCTTATGAGTACCCAACGTTTGGCCTGGTAGCCACATTGTCTTTGCCATGCAGCACATGTCAGATCCTAGACAAACTGGGAGCAGTCCTGCTTTAACAGGTCCTTCAGCTCCCATTCCACTAATTGCTCTGGGGCTGCACTGCACCCACTTGAGCACCTGAAACTGACAATCTGTATTATTTTTTTTCTGCTTCAGTCCTTGGAGTCCGTCAGGCTTGGCTCCTTCCTCAGTTCTGTCCCAGCAGTCACCACCACAGTTATGCAGGATTTCATGAGACAAATTGCAGCTTTGATTGCTGATTCTTACCACAGATTCTAGAAGTGTGCCTTTATGCCTTCACCAGAAATCATTATTGAATGATGTTGCTCCTGAGGACTTTTCTCTAGCTGCCAGGCTTAGAGAGACTTTTCCAGCACTTCGGCTGTGCACACCTGTCTAAGATCTCGTAGAGGTCCCAAGGCTACCAAGACCTGCTCAGTGCACACATTAGTTCTAGACATTACGGGGACTTTTTAGAATACTTTATGGGGACTGGGAAACTCCTGATAAGCTTTTAATTTTTCCAAAATGTGTCTGCTCTTTACACATTTTAGGAGTGGGCCTTTCCGACTGTGGACCCAGCATTATCACATGTTAACAAAGTGATCCCTGTGAGAGATGTGCCTAATCCTATAGCTAGACATTCTTTCCAAGACCTTGTTTTCTCTGTAGGTCCTGCATTGCAACCTTCATTGGCTGTAATGCTTCTCTATCAAACTTTGGGAGACTTGACGAAAGCCATAAGATAGATCCTGTTTCCCTGCAAACTGATCATTGCAGCTCACACTGTGCTCCATGGATAGCTCCATTGTCCGGTGATCTGAATGAGAGTGGCCGGCCTTTCCCTCCTGTATCACTTCTTGTGTCATCCTTCCTGTTTGCTGACCCTGGGCATTTTTGGTCAGCAGATGTCTACCAAGTTTATGAGCCTTACATCTTTGTACCAAATGTGAGTGGTCCCTTTTTAGTGTGCTAATAAATTGTGTTTAAGTTACTGCACTTAGAGACTTTTCTGCTTTTTCTTTCCCTGCAGGGAAACCGCATGTGATTCAGACAGGAATCACCCCTCATTCCTGTTCAAATCGTATGCGATTCTTTGCAGTGTGATTTGAACCCATGCATTTTGTATGGGCTCAAAACGCACCACAAAGGTATCGGTACTGTATATTGGCGAGTACTTGACTGAAAAAAAATATCGGTACTCGCCTGTAAAAAAGCGGTGTCGGTGCAACCCTACTTACAGTAAGTAAAAAAAATTCAGTTTTCCTAAACAGCAGTGGTGGAACAAATGATAATACCCAGTATCTTCTTATGTAGGTATTAGTTAAAGCTACAAATCTTAAACGTACAGAAGGCATTTCTCCCCTTAGCTTACAGAAAAGAATTTTAAAAATCTATTTCTCTCTTTCCGGATCCATAATTTATTTGGACTTTTAAAGCTGTCGTCCATGACTGGGTAGGTAATTGGTTTAATGCAGATTGTTTTGCAGTTTGTGTGGCCATTGTCTGAACCAGCTTTAGTACATCAAGGGATATAGCAGCTGGAATTTTTTCAAAATAGTGGCAAATTGCATGGTATTTCTTCTTTGATGCAATATACAGTGGATGTGTGCTGATTTCTACTCATTTTCTTTTCACTATGTCATTATTTATATATGCTGTGTTTTCTACTGATTCTTTACAAACTCTATGCAGTCGCAGATGCCATTAAAAATTGTTATGAGACCCAATTGGCAGTCTCTTGGCATTTATTGCTAAGGATGAGAAGTGCCTTTAATTCTATAGATGGCTAGGTATTCGGCTCATATTGTTTAAATATTTGGGGGGGTTTTTCATGGTATCTGGTTATTGGTATCCAACGTAACCTAAATATTTTTCTTCCTGCAGGATTGAAAGGAATTACACAGACATCTGCATTTGTACCCATGTCTGAAAGCAATGCCTTCCACCCCCTCAAGTGAAGACCTTAGCTTCTCCTGTAGATGCCAAACAGCAGTTACAAAGGAAAATACAGAAGAAGCAGCAAGAGCAAAAGCTGCAGTCACCTTTGCCAGGAGAACTTCAGGTGAAAAAACAGGATGGACCAGCTGCCAATGGAATCGCCAGTATATGTAATGGAAGTCCAGCTATCCTTTCTCCACAGCCTATCGGGATTGTTGTTGCAGCTGTTCCCAGCCCAATACCGGTAATGTTTAGAACATTGTTATTACTTACATTTGGTGAAAGTGGCCTGCTTGATTCATCCAGTGGTTCCTTTATAGTGTAGAAATATTTTATTGTATTTTTAGATGATTAAACATAAATACTAAATATTGTGATCTACACTTTTTTAAAGGTTCAGTAATCCCTACACGTATGTTGGAGAGTGGTAGATGGCCGTTTAAACCAGTGGTTTCTTATATATCTGTGGTGCTGTGTGAGCAAGAACTGTATCTGGGTTCTTAGGTTGACCTACCAGGGAATCTCTCATGCATTCAATTAAATGTGCATTACACTCTGCTTGCTTCTGAACTCTGAAGCACACAAGTGTATGGACAAAAACAAAAAAAAAACTGTAAGGAAGCCTAGTCACTTGTCTGGCCTCTTCTCCAATTACAAAGTTCCGAACATGAAGAACGTGGTGAAACACTGCATTTTATATGGGGTATTGGGGTGTATTGCAGCACTGGATCATCGGACCCCCTCATCCAGAAACCATGGCACTGTGGGACCTGGATGGGGGACTTAGGTGAGTGTATCTCACTTCACAAGGTAAGGGTAGGGTGAAGACTAATAGAATGGGTTAGAGGTGGAAGGAGAGCTAGTTTAAAAAAACAAAAAAAAATTGATGGCGCTATATAAGTACCTGTAATAAATAAATAAAATATCTAAAATCTAAAACCAAAATGGGAGCCTGTACCCAGGCTCCCATTAATTAAGACTATGTTGCCACCTTCAGGTGAGGACACTGGCAGCAAAGTTATTAGAAGAGCCCATATAAACCATTGCACTTCCAGCAATCCTCAGTTTTTTGCTAGAGTTTCTAGGTGATGGATGACATCACTCTACTGAGAGCAGGTTTCTAGCTTACAATTCTGATTTCTACATGTAAAATTGGAAAGACTACGCACTGTTCTTAATGCAGGGAAGTCCTTTCTCTAGCTGGCTGCATCGACAGTCACTTTTGCTAATTCTTGCAGCTTCTGGATCAATGCCCAGACTCTGCTGTGTAGAAAATGGCTGGCTTATAACGTTACCTGTGGCATTTGAGTATAGGTTTGGTGCTCACCCTTGGCAAAGCAGTACAGTTTTCAAGGTAGTTGACCATGTGCAGGACGAGATGAGTCCAGGCGCGCTTTTTCATCAAGCAGGTCCTGCACATGCTCAGAAACGCGTTGCAATTTGATGACGCCAGACGCCACTTGTGCTGATCCCGGACATCTTGGAGACTCTGCCAGGCTCCACCATCCATGCTGCATATGCACAGCACCATCTGCTGGCAGGCACCTTGGAGATTTCACCAGGCTTACCATCCATGTTGCACATGCACAGCACCACCTGTTGACGGACTCAATCAATCTCCTCTCTGGATCAGACACACAACAACATCTGGCTACAGACATGTCACCCTCTTACCGATAAGCCTGTTTTTAAATTCTAAGATGAGTTACTACTTATCTTTCTATTAAATACCTTCACAGTACACACTTAGAGGCGCTGTGTTTTTTTTGTTTCGGTTTTGCAGACTCCCTGTACCAAAATTCTCCCCTCAGGCCACGGGGGCCCAAGCTAAAAAAACAAAAAACAAAAACTGTAGCTGCTGACTTTTAAAAAAAACAGCCACTTACCTGTCCCTCGGTCCCACGGTGTGTCCCTTGCAGAGCCCGTTTCACCAGCCGTCCTGTATTCCAGGAGGCCGGCATGTTCAGTGTGGGCACCCGGCATGTTCAGTGTGGGCAGCTTCACAGCCGGGTACCCGCTGCGCTTCATGAATGGTCCTGTAGTCTTCTGGGCCTGTCACGTGTCCCAAAAGAGTACAGGGAGGAAAGGAGGGAGAACACCTTCCGCTTGCGATCGGACCGGAAGTGGGAGCGGATACCTGTCAAATTCGGGTACCCCCCCAAAGGTGCCAATCCTTAATGGGGAGTGGGGGAGCAGTCCTTAAAGCGGAACTTCCCCTTTTGGGTGGAGCGCCACTTTAAGGTGAATTTGAGCATGGTCTCAGTTATATATTTAATTTCTTATTGCTTGCAAAAACTAATTATTGCTGGGAGTGGGCTTTATATGGGCAGGTGGCAGGATATAACCCTTGGTCCTAAATAGGCAACTCAAAAATTCTTTTTATTTATTTTGATAGAGTGGGAACGGTTTGTATTGCTGTAGTATACTTCCACTGTGCTTTTGTGTCTCACAAAAACAATAAAGGGAAGCCTCCTCAATGGGATACAGATGGAGATATAGACCGCAATTATAAATGACTGTTCTGTATTCTCTCCAAAACTTCGCTGGATTGCTTAAATCTGCCAGCCGACAGTCAGCTTGTCAGATTTTCACAAGCTCCTGACAGGTGAAGCCTCCTGGTGTGTGTAAACCCCCCCAGCTGCCACTGACATATCATGTACGTTGTTGGCAGTAAAGGGTTAAACAATACCCAGTGATCTTGCCAGAAAATATCCTAACTTTCTGTGGTAAGCTGAAAATGTTACACTGAAATTTCAATCACTATTTTCAGCCCTGCCCAGTTCACTTCTTTGAACTATATTATGAGAGAGATGTTCTGTAGTCCAAACACACTTCCTATCCTAGGGTAACCTTTTATAGTAGCAGAAAAGTGAGTGTGTTTTGTCACCCTGAACTAAACAGAACTAAACACTCTCAATCAACATTAAGTATGTTTAATCCTTATGCCATTAGCTTAGAAATAGGTAGATGGGAAGTAAAATAAATAGGGTAGTATATTTAAAAGAGAAGTAGGGCTTTTTTCCCCCCCTATTTATATTTACCTAGGTGGATGCAACATCGGTTCCCTGCCAGCTCTAAGGGTGAGAGCTCAGCGGTTACATGATTGCTGAGTTCTCACAGCCACTCTGAGCAGAAAGTGGGACTGGCAGTCACCACTGTCTGCTCAGCTTCCCCAGCACTCACTGGAGCTGGCTGTGGAGGGGGAGGGTGCGGCTGGCTCAGGCTGTCAGTGCTTCACTTGAGAGGCTGAGCCAGGTGTCACTCCAGACTCTGGGGTGGATCCTGACTTTAAAGTCGGGATCATTCCCCATCCTGCACTGGCTGAGTGACGTCAGCCAACAGCAGATTTCAGTCCGCTGTCAGCTGAAAACAAGTCACAGGAGTGCAGAATGAACTGCACTCCTATGATCCACAGAAGTACAGCCAAAAGAGCTTTGGCTGTACTTCTAGTCTAATTTACTTGTTTTAAAAAACACTTTTTTTTTTTTTTTTTGTATAAACATTTCTTCAGTTTCTTTTTGTTTTGTGGCCTAGGCCAAAATGATGTTACATGTCCCATGAGTCGTCGTGGGCATCTTTTTTTCTTTCATCTAGAGGAGGAGGGAACGGAACAGTTTTCTCAGCTATGAACACTCTCCTGCCTGCATGCCTGAGTTAAAGTGTTTCTAAAGTCAATTTTTTTTTTACATTAAAAAAAATATATATATATAAAAAAAAATAATAAACATGTTATATTTACCTGCATTGTGCAAATTATATTGCACAGAGCAGCTCAAACCATCCCTTCTGGGGCCCCCAACCGGTATTCTCTGCTCCTTCTTTTCTTTGTCTGCCCCTTAACAAGCCCCTAGTTATGGGCTCACTCCCGAGCTGGCTGGGTGCAATCATTGACACACACAGCACTGCTCGGCCCTGCCCTCCTGCTCCCTCCTCAAAGCATTTCATTGACAGCAGCAGAAGCCAATGGCTCCCACTGCTGCCTTAGTCCCTGTGAGTAGAGGGAGAGAAAAGATGCACCATGCTGGATTGAAGACTCAGGTATGTATTTAGGTTGGGGGTGGGGGTTGTGCAGGTAATTCATTAAGGTAAAAAACGTTTTAGCTTTAGAACAACTTTAAGGACAGATGGATTCCAGAAAGTAAATGCTACATGAATCATCTGTCCTTATTCAAGATGGCTACAGCTAGATATGCAAGGGGATGTTTTTCAAATTGATTTATAAACTAAGTAATGCCTACAGACACGGATGCATGGGAGAGTTTGCTCTGGATATTAAAAATTAATTAAATGGCGTTTTCAGTTTTTGGTGCTCACATAAAGCAGAACTCCAGTTTCTTGTGTAAAAATTAAAAGTCAGCTGCAAAAACTAGCTGCTGACTTTTAATAAACAGCCACTCACCTGTCCCACGATCCAGGGCTATGCTCACCCCAGCTGGTTTCATCTCCTGTTTTCTGTCCCAGACTCCAGCATCTTAACTGTGGGCACTCAACTGTGATCGCTTGCGGTGCATTGAGAAGACTTTGGATGGGGAGGGGTACTTCCTTTTCCGATCACCTAGGCGGTCGGAGCGAGTACCTGTTTAAAATCAGGTACTCGCTCCCCATCATCCATCCAGCAAGCAAACTGGTGTCTTTTGTTTTGTTTTTTTCCTTGCATCTAATTAGGTACTCTTTACAAAGTGGATACAGGAAAGGATTACCCAAGGGTAGTCCTTGTACCTACAAGGGGACAAGCACCCAGATACTCGATCTTGTCTTGTTCTTTATAAAGTGAAGCTTCACCACATTTACTAAGCTCTCGGGGAAAAACGTGCAGTTGCTCGTTCAAAGTACACATTCAATTTGCCTTCAGTAAATCCACCCCTATGAGTGTTCAAATTCACCAACTTTTCTCCAGTTTTGAGAGGGGCCTGTAAGATTTCAGTATATGCGTTAAATTTAGGAGCTAAGGTCACTGAAAGCACTTTTAGTTCTTTTGAAATAAAAGACAGAATACTGAATAATTTTACCTTTGTTTGTGACAGGTTCAAAGAACCAGGCCACTTGTGACTTCACCCAGTCCTATTGCCTCCTCTGAGGGGAAGGTTTTACCACTCAACGTTCAAGTAGTTACTCAACACATGCAGTCTGTAAAGCAGTCACCAAAGACTCCACAAAATGTTCCAGCAAGCCCTGTTGGAGATCGTTCTGCTAGACATCGCTACCCTCAAATTTTACCTAAGCCAGCCAGCTCCAATGCTTTGACGATCCGCTCACCCACCACTGTGGTTTTCACCAGTAGCCCAATTAAGACTGTGGTGCCAGCACCACATGTCAGCTCTCTGAATGTTGTGAAGATGACCACAATATCACTTGCTCCCAGCAATGCTAGCACTTCAGCAAAACAAACCCCTTCTGTCAATAACAGTGTTGGAGTGTCAGATGAAAACAGAACTGTGCCACAGATCAAAAATGGCTCTGTGGTTTCACTGCAGTCTCCTGTACCCAGGATGGGCACACCTGTGGCATCTGCAGTAGAGGTAAAAACAGAACCAGAAATTCTTATAGAGGATAATCACCCATCCCAAGAAAGTACAGATTGTCCAAGACCTAGGAAAGGTACTCCAATTTCTTTCACACCAAAAGTCAGTTTGGAGAAACAGTCTCAAGATGCTGCCCGTGAAACTCAGAGTGCCAAAGCACTTGACCAGAGAGTTGAAATAACAAGGACCAAATGTAAAGGCCGCTTAATAGAAGGCGCATCTATTTCCTCAGCTGGTTGTAGTCAGGGTACTGTGACTCTGTGTGTCACACCTCAGAGTGTATTCAGCAGTATTTCCTGTCCAAATACGAACACTGACTCAGCTGGAAAGGATATGAGATTGTCTATTAAGAGTCCTCGAAAACGCTTAACTTCTACAGTACAGGACTCACAGTTACCACCAGCGAAAAAATCACTTCTTGGTCAGCTGTCCTCAGCTATTGCTGAATGTCAGAGACCAGTAGGGATTACTGTCAAGAAAGTTCAAAAAGCACTGACAATGAAGACTGATAATGCAGTAACAATTGCGTTAGCGCCTAATAAAGGCACTCAGCAAGTGAGTAATACTGAGTTAATAGAAAGCTTTTCCTTGGACTGTGTTGATGAAAAGACCACTGATACTCACCAAGAACATGCAGTCTCATCCCAGGATGTTAAAGTTAAACTAGAAGGTAATGTGTTTAAGCTTGTCAGTGATTCAAAGGAAGAGATGCCTTTCAATCAAAATGCATGGCAGGAGATTGCCGAAAGTTCAGATTTCACATCTAGCAACTGCGAGCAGCCTCAAACTATTAGCGTTCTGGATATTCCAGGAACTTCTGGTGCTGATAACCTGCAAAAAACTGTATGGGAACCAGTAGACTTTGAAGGACTACAACAGGATGCTTACAGTCAGCAACTTGAGGATTCTTCTTTGAATCAGCTACAAGCACATTCATCTAACCAGTTACCTCAACGTTCTAATCTAACAGACCCTCCCACAAACGAAAGTTTCTTTTCATTTGATGATGACCTCACGCAAGATAGCATTGTTGAGGAACTGGTGCTGATGGAGGAGCAAATGTCTATGAATAACAGCTCTCAAAACTATGGTAGTTTAGGAATGGTGCTCCAAACCCAAGCAACAGCTGCCCATGGTACACCGGTACCCACACATTCAAGTAGCACTCACTTTTACCATTCAGTACATAACAGTGGCACTCCAGTGCACACTCCTACTTCAACAGCAACCCCAACTCTAACCCCAACCCCTACATCAGAGATGATTTCTGGGTCTCAAAGCTTGTCAAGAGAGAGCCCTTGTTCTCGTCTCGCTCAAACAACACCTGTAGATAGTGCATTAGGAAGCAGTCGGCACACACCAGTTGGGACCCCACATTCTAACTGCAGTAGCAGTGTTCCTCCAAGTCCTGTTGAATGCAGGAATCCCTTTGCCTTTACCCCTATAAACTCCAGCATCTCTTATCATGATGCTAGCATTGTCTCAAGTAGCCCTGTTAAACCAATGCAAAGGCCAATGGCAACTCACCCTGATAAAACTAAGCTAGAGTGGATGAATAATGGATATAGCACTGTTGGTAATTCTTCCGGTCATGGTATACTTCCAAGTTACAAAGAGCTAGTAGAAGACAGTTTTAGAAAGCCACATGCTTTTGCTGTGCCTGGTCAGTCATATCAGTCTCAATCGAGACATCATGACAATCACTTTGGTCGTATAACTCCTGTTTCTCCAGTTCAGCATCAGCTTTCCTCGTTAAGTAATACTTCTAAACAGGAGGGTTTTGCTGTTCCTGCCCCTTTAGACAACAAAGGATCAGGTACATCTGGAAATGGCAGCAATTTTAGATGTCGTAGTGTAAGCCCGGCAGTTCACCGACAGCGCAATTTAAGTGGAAATACAAACTGCCCGACTTCAAATGCTCCTCGATCCAATGTGACGGCTTTTGGATCTGTGGTAACTGCAGAGGTTCATAATATACTTGCTAATGTACAGTCAGACACCAGTGCCAATAGTATAGCGCAAAGAAGCCAGTCAGTTCCTTTAACTGTTATGATGCAGACTGCTTTCCCATCCTTGCAAAAACAAAGCAGTACTCAAAACATCACACACGTTTTATTAAACAAACTGGATTCTGATCGTGATGATGCGGTTCGAGGGTTAGGAATTAACAATATGCCTTCTAACTATACTGCAAGGATGAATCTCACTCAGATTTTGGAAACATCTCCCATGTTTTCTGGTGCCAATCAACAAAATGTGATGAATTCCAGCACTTCATCTTATGAATTCCAAACGCCAGCTTACCTCACGAAAAACAGCAGTACTGATACAATTGGTTTTACTACTGGAGACAACCAAGCACAATCTGAAATTGGAGAGCAGCAACTTGATTTCAATAGCACTGTTAAGGACCTGCTAGATGGAGAAAGCCTCCAATCAAACCAGCAGCTTGCTCAAGTGGCTTCAGATTTAAACAATGCCTCTGATTTCTCCAGCGACATCCGGTTGTCTTCTGATCTCTCAGGCAGCATTAATGACCTGAACACTTTAGATCCAAACCTGTTGTTTGATCCTGGTCGGCAGCATGTGCAGGATGATGAAGCTACACTGGAGGAGCTGAACAATGACCCCTTGTTTCAGCAAATCTGTAATGAATCTATTAACTCCATGACCTCATCTGGATTTGAATGGATAGAGAGCAAAGACCATTCTGCAGTTGAAATGCTGGGTTAAATTTGTATTATAATGTAGCACACTGTATCAAAAAGGCAGTTGTATTTGTCTTAATGGAAGTGCCTCCAGCAGCGGAAACATTTGTAATTATGAAGTTTTCATAAGGTTTGCTGCACAGGTTATCTATATTTCATCTGTTCTTAACATGATAATCATTTAAACTGCACTACATGGGCGGTTGATGAGCCAGTATTAAGTCCATTTATGTGGTTTTTTTTTTTTCTATTTCCTCTCATTTTAAATGATTTTATGTCACTTGACAGGCATTCTTATCCTGTTACACTTTGTAATAATTGCTTTTATTCTGTTTTAGTGAAATTGAAAATCTGCTTCTGCTTTACATGACCTGTATAAATCTGTCTATAGGTAAAGAAAGGCAGCAACTATTGTCTGCTTTGATTTTTGAGTATGGTGACTTGGGTACTTATGTGAATATCATATCATTTGTGGAGTATGTATAATTTTAAAGAAGACAAAAGAAATCAAACTTTTCTCATTAAGGACTACTTTCCCTAAAATTAGAAAAATGCACTAAAATGTTAGGTTTTTTTTTTTTTTATTTTTTAACACACCATGACCTCATGACATTTTACAAGTTTTTACTTTTTTATTTTATCTGAATTTTTTCATATAAAAAACAAAATAAAAAAACAAAGAAATACTCTTTTGAAGATGAAAATGGTATGGATTGAAATAAGGAGAGAATAGGTGTCCGGTGGCTTCCTCTGTGTTGAGGTTGCTGCTTTTGGAGCCTGCCCACCCAATCTGAAGCAGTAACTGATGTTAAGCTCTGTGGTTTCTAATATATGTACATATTAGAAAATGTGTCTTTGTTGCATGTTTTTATTTTCCCAGTAAAACTACAAATGGACTACAGATGCCATTTTGATACTTGCTCCTTTTTATCCCAGGATGCTTGCATGCCGAGCAGTGGTTACCCTGTTTTTTTAATTAGGGAAAGTATAGAAGACCTGACGTAGAACATAGGAAAATATATTTCCTGTGAAAACTTTTTTTTTTTTTTTTTTTGCATTGGTCACTTTTTTATCTCACATATCTAAGATGGCTGTTGGCTAAGACAGCATACATCTATGAATTTTATAATGAAACATGCCATTCAGAATTAAAAAGTTGTCACTAAATATTTTTTTTTCAATGCATGTCAAAACTTTTAGCAATGTGTATAAGCTTGGATATGCTCAGACTTCCAATACCATTATTTTATCTTTGGCAGCACTTCATGAATTTCCTTCGTTAGAGTAATATTGCAGAACACCCAGCTACAGCAGTGTTGCCCCTGTTCATATTCTGTTGGAAGTTATAGCTGTGTAGCATATTTAATATAATTGTGAATTTTATTTCTGCCAGCTTTTCTTGTTAAAAAAAAACAAAAGATATATGCGAGAAACAGACTATTAACATTGTGTATCATCATACCAAAAGGTGCTAAGGCCAACTCAGAGCTCTGTAAATTTGATTGTGATAGTGAGTTAACTTGGCTGTTATGTGTTTGCTGGTATTTCTAAACATTTTTTTTAAATACCTGCTCTTAGTACTTGTTACTATTGTACATTGAGATGGAGCACTATTGCGTACCAAAGTATTAACAGAAAGGAAAAAAAAAACCCAAAGGATAATTTATTTTGTTTGAAGCAGGCATTCTTGAGGCAACCTGTGAAAAAAATGTCAAGGGCATTTAAACCATAGCTAGTAATTCACTGTTAAATCAATAGTAGCTGAAAACAATGCATACAAACTTTCTGCTTGACTAGTTTGCGGAGTGTGCAAAGCTGGCTGCTCTGGTAATAATTGGACTTAATTTTGGTGTTGAAAAAATGGCCTATATATTAAATAACTTGGCAGTGCATAATATGTACAGTATTGCAGCAAACACTTTAAATTTTGATGGAAGACACTTTCTTGGTGCAGTGCCTGAAATCTGTTTAAAAAGGGGGGATTAATACTTCATGTCCCTATAGGGGCTGTTCTTACAACAGAAATAATTGCAAAGATGTTCTCAGGTTCACTTATTGCACTAAACTTCTGTTGAACCTGTGGCATGGCACCTCTTTTCGGATAAATGCAACTTTTTTTGCCCCAGAATTAAACAAAAAAAAAAAAAAAACACAAAAAAAATTCAGTCTATTAAAAAGCAGAATGTCATAAAAATGACATACAATTGTCTTATGTAGCAATGTGCATTAATCTCAGTGAGATATTTCTATTTCTTATTCTCTTACATGAGAATATTACAGCAGGAAGAAATTAAGTTTAGTTGCTTCACCGTGTTAATACATGATCACAAAATGTGCATGTGTGTATTACCTTGTACAGTCTCAGTATATTCCTGTAACCACTTTTTGCTGTATTATATACTTGTTCTGTGTTGATCAGGCAAGCATAGTTATTCACAGGTTATTTCCTTTGTTTACTAATTCAGCTTTGTTATTGTTAAATATGTTTTCTGAGTTTTTTTGTGTTTTATTATTTTCTACAGTTCTAGTGTTTTAAAATGAGAAAACTAAATGACCTGGTAATACCATAAAGCATCATGAAATGATAATTTTTACAAAAAGCTACAATACTCAGACCTTCAGGCTATGAAAGGAAGATTATTGTATGCGTCGCCTCTGAGTAGCTGTACAGACCCAACCTATAATGTGCATTAATAGCAGCACATGGCGGGTACAATCCCCTTTCATCTTTTCATACTATTAAAAAAACCACAAAAAAAGGAAAAAAATTACCCCTTGTTTTCTTGTCTGTTGTACTGCTGAAACTACAGTAGTTAAATTGCAGTAGAATTTCAGTTATGTTTTTTTATGGAAAGTGCTCAAAATTGTTTTTTTTTTAATGTTTTCAGAAACAATAAAATATTTTATATGAATGGGTGTGTGTGACTATTTTCATGCTTCTTTCCTTTTATAAAAACATTTTGACTATTTCAGGTTAATGATGGTAAATATATATTAAAAAAAAAAAAAAAAAAGGTTAACATATAGATGCTGAATTGAGATGGATGTTCATTAAGTGTATTAAAGTGTTATTAACTTGGCATTACTACAGCGTTTTATGACGCTTTACAACTCAAAGTGAAAGTTTTGTTGAGAGAAAAAGCAAGTCCCGACTTGGTAGGCAATGTACATTGGGAAGACCTATGAAAAACAGTGTCTCATCTAATTTTTGACTTAAATTTTCAGTTTTAAGAGCCAAAAAGATTAAATAAAAACACTTTTCTTCTTCATTCACTGGAGAAAAAGCTCTACTTTGGATCATCACCTATGGTTATAATGCCACCTGCAGGAGCAGGACGATACATGCAGCTAAAAATAAAAGAACAGGCCAGGGACAGCCCTTGCTGGTGGCCCAAACCCCCCACACTGTGGAGCAAGCTCAGTTATCAGCTTAACGTTTATAAATGAGGACTCTCCAACCAGAAAACCTAGTTACTTTGGTTTTATAGTAAATTTAAACCCATCCATTTAATGGTTTCCCAAAATAGGTACATTCAAGGCATGCCAAGAATGACAACTGTCACGTTTGCTTGTGCTCTTAGCCAACCTGGCAAGCCATCAAATTGCTGCTGTGATAACTGATCACATATATAGCACCATGGCAATTGCAGATGAAACTGAGACTAAGTCATAAGCTGGGTGACAGGCTGGATAACCTGGTAGGCTCCCTAGTTTCAGCCATCGAGCACATTCCTGACTCGTGTAGCCTGCACCATTTCACTGTTGGGGAAGCATATGGCTGGTTATCCTTGGGCTGTCTTGTTACAGCTTCCATCTCAGTCAAGCAGTGCTTCGGCTATGGCAGTTGGCTTCCTGCTTCTCTTCCAAGCAGACCTTCGTGATTCTGGCCTGGGCAGTATTATAGTAAGCAGAGGATTACCTTCCATTTTTTTGCCCATCCTCCCTTTCTCCCTTTACAGTCTGGGGGCTATATGCACTATCCATGTCCCTGGGGACTTTTTGTCTGCTGCTATCACCCTTAAGGGGACTGGTGGGAAGCAGGTGCTCCTGACTGCAGTCTGCATCCACAATATCCTTTCCCCAGGTTTCCTCTGAGAACCTTTCTCTGTTTTTGTATTTATTTTTCTCTCTTGGGGGATCTTTATTGAGAACTGTCTGCGACTGGAACATCTGCTGTTGTGTGAGTGGCAGCTGTAGACACATTTCAGTGGCAGTAACTGGACAGAAAGGGGTAGTCTTTTCCTTGCAAATGTGCATGCTGACAATGGAGCCAGTATGGGAGGCTAGATAGCCTGCAAGACACTGGGACCATCCTCTTTGACTGGGACGGAAAAGGTGGTAAGTGCTTACTTTTTTTGGTACATTGCCCCAAACTGTTACCAGCTCAGCTGGTGGTTGCCGGGAACAACATTTAAGGGGGGAGTCAGGCCCCCATGGAGGGACAGGGGACAGGAATTCCTTCCTCTGACCAACTTATGGTAAGGCAATGCAGAGGGTCTAGTTTGTAATGCTGTCAAACCATTACAGGCAGCATCCCTCCAATCCTCTGGTTACCCACTGCCAGCCTCAGGTATTCAAAGTGGAGTCTTTCCAGGCAGTGGTTGTAGTTTCAGCACCCAATGAGAAGTCACATGCAGTGTGACCCTCCTTGGGAAGCAATGATGAAACTTCTACAATAACTTTACTCTGGGAGGAGTTGGTGTTGGTGCTGATTAAGTCATTTAGGTATACACTTAAGACTGCAGATTCCCCCACTGTGCCGTCCAACGAGCCATTACTTTTTGGTACACAGAAGCCAAAGTGTTCCACTAAAGTTTTTCCTACCACCCATTTCTTGATAATTTTAACTACAAAGAGTTGACGCAACCGACTTGGCTGTATGTTTTGTCACTCCATTTTCAGAGCATAACCCCTTTGAGGAGGAGTTTACTAAAAAGTGCGTGTCTCAGCCTGCGGTGGATCTTCCAGTTTGTTGATTATACAAGGCCACAGTTTTGCCTGGATGTTTCCTCTTAAGGCCCCATG